ATTTGGGAGGATTCTGTCATTGAGAGCCACAGTCCTTCCCTGCATAGTGTGATGTGCAGCATGGCTGCTCTACTTTTCCACATTATAATAATTCATTTCCACAGTTTTGGCCTATACCTTTCAGGCATCATCTTCCCAGCTCTTTGAATACCCCCCCTTAAATCTTCCCAGTAATCTTTCTAGTACCTTATATAATCTTCTTGTATGATTTTTCCCCCCACAAAAAGAGAAGTTGGTCTGGATTAGTCAACTTCACCTGGTCAGAGCTTTGAAACCAAGCAGTACAACACCCTGAGCAACCTGCTTTAAGCAGGGGGTTGGGCTAGGTGACCTCCAGTGGTCCCTTCCAACCTCGACTTCTCTGTGAAATGATTCAAATGAATTTTAACTGAATTTCAGATGACAAAAATGTTTGCCTTTCAAGATGGTAGAATCAGTGAATAACAGTAACTTTTATGTGCAGAAATAATAGAAACTGTAGTTATAAATACCTCTTCATGCATCTAAGTATGATAGATAGATTCGTCCTACTTTTGTGAATAATTTCCTAAACCTATCCAAGTTTATAGATAAGAAGTCTGCTGTACATGCCTACATAAATGAATATCCCTAAAGAACTACAGACTGAACCCCACAAGTTTTCCTCATGCGAACTGAACTTCTGAAGTAAATGGAGTTATCCATGTGAGTAAAGATTCTAAGAGCTAATACTGTAGTGTTAGTCAGATACAGCAGCTGTATTATGTGATTTTTAGTATGTTTGCTTCCCTTTATATGAATAGTATTAGTTAGTATTAAGATCTGTCCATTTCAGAGCACTCTGCCACATTTTAACTCCTGTACCACCCATTTTTGAAGACAGAGAGTGGAGGTAAGTAGCATGCCCATCATTACAGGAGAATGGAGTCAGTATGGTAGAACTAGAATAGAATAGTTTCTGCCTCCCAGTCTTGATCCCAATGCATATGGAGCATAAGATCATCAGACAGTAGGCATAATTATGATCTGATGAAAAAAATTACAAACAGTCTGTTATCTTACAAACAAAATTCAAATCCTGCTTTCAAATGCAGTGACATAAATTCAGAATCATTCTTCGAGAATAAGCTGAATTTTCTGATGTTTCACCAGCATGACTGAGAACAGGATTTGCTAATGCTTCCAAAATGCATGTTATTACCCTCTTGCTGAAAGCATGTTGCATGTTGAAGAGAGCACAATACTGAAAAAGGCTTCATCAGCTAATATTCAGACCTCATCAAACTGGAGATAATCACAGCTTTGTTACAATATTAACTGTGATAGCATGTAAATTATCCATGCTTTCCACTATGCACTTGAATCGCAAAATGTGTATGGATGATTTTTATTAATTTCTCTTTGTCTGTAGGTGAACACTCCTTACCCAGGAAATCAAGAAGCTCTTAATGTCCAAGGTGAATAGTTCTTTGTCTTGAAACTTGCTTTAAATAATCTCTCTTTTTTGTGAACAAAAAGCATTGCTTTCTCTTGGATAGGGTGCGACTGATTTTGTGAGAAAATTGGAGGTGGTCTCTTTTTTTATGGGTCATTTCTGTTAGTCCTTTGCTCTTCAGATCATGTCTCGGTGCAATCTCAGCATGGAAGTCAAAGAGCAGATGAACCTAGGTCTGAACTTCTAAGGCTTAGATATATATATTTAGTAGAGTAACACAAGTTCTGCATGTCTAATGTTAGGAGTTTTCTGTCAGAGCTGACAAGTGGTCTGAGAACAAGCACGTGAGGAGTAGGTGCCACACACTGCTGCATTAAGTCTTTACTTCTCTCCTCTAGCAGTGCCCTTCAAATGCAAATTCTAAATTCTACTGACAATACATCACATCAGCCAACAAAGTGGCCTTATCCCTCAGATGTTTGACTCATGGTGTCAAAAAACCTTCCCTTCTCTGATCTCTGATCAACTGATGCCAGAAATTTAGCTTGTGATCGAAGCTCCCATCCTACTGCTCAAAAGTAAATGATCACAGGCAGAGTCAACACATACTGACTGCTGGAGCCCCAGAGAGGAACAAATCACCTACAGTCCATGTGCTGGAGTGGGCTTAGGATTTTCTGCAGATACAGAAGAAATGTTCCGCATCCCTTCATTTACAAGGAAGGTGACACCTACTGAAGAAAGAGTGCAGAAAGAAGCAGTCTGGAAACTTCTGTTGTAAAACAGGGCTCTAAAAATGAAGTTCTTTTCATCTCCCATATTTGTAGCATTTCTGCAAAACTAGAAGAAGGAAAAATGCTGTAAATATTTTTGTCCCTAAAAATGTTCAATAGTCATACAGAATACGAGTGGAAGACTGCTGCAGAAAGCTGCAGAAAGTTGATGGAAACACTTTCTTACCAATGAAGTGTTTACGGGGCATGCACAGCAAAAAAGCTTCCACTGGAAAAGCAACACCAGGTCATGGACTTGGTGAAATTGTGCTCTCGCAAGCCAGAAATTGTTTCTGTGCCTTCCCTACTGAAGTTCACACCTGCAATGAGAACAGGTTAGAGTAGAGATTGTGCATTTAGCAATCTACCAACTCCCAGCATAGGTCACAACAGGAGCTGTCGCTATCATGGGGAGAGTGCTGCTAAAATTGCTTCAGGAGATGTGTCCTCTCATTGCCCTTGTGATACTTCAAAACACCTCCTGCATATTGCTCAGAATAGGACCAGCTCACCTTACACTTGGTCATTTCTCCCTGAAGTAGCTATAAAATGTTACTGTGTCAGAATGTCTCTGGAGATCTTCAAAACCCGTCCGGATGCAGTCCTGTGCAACGTGCTCTAGGTGACCCTGTGTGTGCAGGGTTGTACTAGATGAAATAAATCAGATCTAATAAATCTAATTAATCATTTTACCTAGATATTTTATAGGGCAAAGTTACCATGAAAATTGAACAATACCTGGAAAAATAGATTTATCCAGATTTATTTGGATAGAGTTCTACCATCAGCTTATATAGAAGAAAAAATATGCCAAAACTGTGTCTATTCTCAGAGAACATTTTCTTCATTGTCAGTATGTTTATGACATCAATGAGCAAAAAAACACCACATTTTTGGCCATTCACAGTTGCAGTTATCATTTACTGGTTTGTTCCTGAGCCTGGAGATGCTAGAGGATGTGTTGTCAAAGGTAGAAGTGTAACCCAAGAACTGACAAACATATCAACAAGAGAGTTAGCACACATTCTCGTTTTGCTTTGCTCAGAAGACGCTAGATTGGGTGGCTAAGTAAAGGAGAATGAAAGATTGACTTGCAGGAGACCTTGTTGCAGATGTGACTGATAAAGAAACACGGACCGTGGGCTGAAGAGAGAACACAGTCAGGCACACATTAAATCTTCACAAGGAGAGTAAGCAAAGCATATGTGTTACGGAGTCAAACGTGAAATACCAGCTGCCGTTTTCATTTGGGTTTGGTTGTCATTGCAGGCATCTCTGTTGTTTGCAAATTCTCATGAATTTTGCTTCCTTGTCAGGTGCTAAAGGAAGTGGAGATTCCTGGGGAGCGCACAGTTCAACAAACATGAAAGGAGAAAAAGGAGAGACAGGGGCTCCAGGACCACCAGGTATTCTGAATATGACATTTCAGAAATATCCCATGGTAGTCCCACTCAGGGCAGGAGGTTGGACTAGATAATTTTCAGAAGTCCATTTCAACCAACTTTTTAATATTCTGTGCTTTATTTGTCATAATTATGAAAAGTATGTTTGGGCCAAATATATCAAATTACTGGTGCTAGGACCAACATAATAGAAGCTGCTCGCCAGACATTTATTTTTATGCAACAATCAAAAGTTGATGCACATGGCTATTTTTTATATTTTCAAAAATAATGTGAAAAGCATGTTTGAAAAGATTGCTATTACAATTCACACAATCTTCCTTTCAAATGCAGTTTTTGAAAGCTCAGATATTGATATAAGGCTTTTCCCAATGACAGTAATTCTTCAAAACAGAAGGAGCAGTATATGAATATATATTCCTGTATAATATTTATATTCCTATATCATATTTATAATCTTTGTCCTCTTAAGTGCTTACAATAAATTTAAAACCATATATGTACATAGGTATTTCTTTGTTCCAAGCTCATGGTTCTGTTGATAATATTTGCTCTCTCTGAGAGGACCTGTTTGTTCTCATAAAAACTATTTTCTTGTCTTAATAATTTTTATTCTGATCAATATCCACCGCCACAACAAGAAGAAGACTGGACTAGATTTGCCCCTTAAGACATCATGCTCAAAGCTAATCATCACACATTTGACTCAAACATATTTGGCTGTTATAAGTAGCTCTGAAAAGGTCCTTTTTTTCTAAAGGAATGACAAAGAAAGAGTATTTGAAGGCTTTTAAAACTTTTTGTGCTAGCTTGACGGCTTTGGTGGACTGCTATTAGCAGACAACAAAACCCAGCTGCTATAAATACCGATGCTGGTACTGTTTTTTTTTTGCAGAAGAGCAATGAAAAGTTATTCTAGGATCAGCAGAATAGCAGTAACCCTGATTCTTTCTTTAGCCTAGAAATGGAATAGCAAAACTGTAGTTAATTCAGAATTGCACAGGTACTGCTCGACTACCTCACTACAGCCAAAGCAGATGGAATGCTTTTCTTTTATCTCAGTTTCCATCAAATGGGTTAATTTGGAGGCTTTTCTTTCACTTTCTATCCAGCTACCCTTTCTGAAAAATTTGGAACTTTTCATCTTTGATACTTCCTTGCTTTCAAGTTTTACTAAAATTCACAAACAGATTGAAAATGAATTAAGGTGGAGGAGTGACAGACAAGATAGAACATTTATGCCTTGTTTCATTAGGAAACTGAACTAAAAATATCTGTTAGATATAAAGGTTAATGTTATTATTGTAAATCATTTTCCTTCAAACTCCTAAAACAGTAATATCTAAAGCAGTGCTTTTAAGATAGAAATTACAGATAATTATTCTACTAAAATAATTTTCTTCATTTTTCAGGTCCACCTCTGCCTCCATCATATTTCAGCCACTTTATTAATAGCATAAAGGTAATTATATCCCATTTGTGTTGAGCTCCATTAAGCTTTTTTTAAAGGAAATTTTACTATACACTAAGCAGAAAACTACAGTAGGGTGAAGCATAAAACAAAAAAAAAAGATATCTGCATCAGCAATTATATTCTATATTAATTTTCCGAATTTCAACTGGGTAAACAAGTTTATTAGAAGTATAGGGATTGTAGATGTCAGTAAATATATAAAGATTACTTTTGAAAATAGTTTATTACTTTATGCTGAGGCTTTTTACTCTCTCAGTGGTATAAAAGTGAATCATAACTCGTTACCCAACATCAATTAGTACAAACTGTTTGCCATAAGTTAATGCTTTTGCTTCTGTGCCAGCTCAGGTAAGAGACATCCATTTACTAAAGGGGTGCTAGAAAAAATTAGCAGCAGTTAACATACGAAAATAGTCAGTTATGCATAATACTATTTATCTTTCCAGCACAGTGAATAAAATAGGTAAAGTGATGGAAGACACTTTTATGCTTCCCCATAGTCCTTTCCTGAAGTGACTTATGAGACAGAGTGTCTGTACCTTGATGTGTTTGGTCTCTATTCCATCATTCTCCTGATTGCTTTAAGTGACAGTACTTGAGTATCAACAAAATATCAATATTAATATTTTAACAGAAAAAAGCTGAGTTTGCTCTCAAACAATATAAGATGTGAAAAAAATGTAATCAATTTATCATTACTGATTCCACCAAAAATAGGGTTGTTACATAAGGATGCTGTTCATTTCCTTGAAAGACTTGTAGTTCTGTCTTGTTTTTGGATTTTGTTTTTACTTTGCTGAGTGCACCGAAGTTATTCCTATGACATAAAGTGTGTCATCCGTGCATGGCAGACATGATGCGGCTTCTTTGATCTCATAGAGCACTGTCTGCAGCTTTCAAGTTTTAGCTACAAAGAACTGATTTTGCATCTAGTCCTTCAGCTCTCCAAAATGACATGTCATACAGAAAGCTTTATAGTCCTATTTACTGGGAAACCAACATGAAAAAATAGTCAGGGGAAGAGCTATACATAGTCACATCTCCCTTTCTGCAGCTACCCACCATTCTTGCTTTGCCCTTTGCTGCTTCTGCTCACAGGTTTATTTCTTGAAAGGGTGTACTAATGTAAACAACAAAAGTTGAAGGAAGAAAATCATCTGGAAAACAGAGAAATAATGTGAGGCAAAACCTCATGTTGCGGCTTATTTTGCACAAGGAGATAATGAATTAGTCTTTTGAGACTTCTTACTCATCACTTTATTCCTCAAACAAGCTGATAATTATCTTCGTAAATGAGGAGAAGAGAAGCAGCCCAAAGTATCTGCAATTTTGTGTGGTGCCTCTCGTATACAACCCTGTGCTGCTCTCTAGGATGGTCTTCACTTCACTACATACCTTTCCATATCTGTCAAATTCACATCAGTCTTTCTTTGCTTACTCCATGCTGTGAGGAAAAAGCAAAAAGTCTGTTTTTTGTGCTTCCTCTGACTTAACTTACACTCTCTTTGCTTCCAGCTACAGCACAGAACACAGTTGCTGCGTGGAAAGTCAGGAAACAGCAATAGAGCCAGTTTCCTCTGCCTCAGTTTCTTCCTCAAACCTCCACCCTGAGAAATCCTTGCATCTTCAATAGAAGATACCGTATCACTAAAGAAGGGAGGAATGTCAAAAAGCAGATAGTAAACTGATGCTATTCTTAAGCTGAGATCTTTCATGTTGCTTTAAAAGACCAGTCCATAGAGTGCATCTTGCCTCAGCTGAATGCTTTAAATTGTATTTTCTTCAAAGGGTGAAAAAGGAGACAATGGAGGCCCTGGTGTAAAAGGAGAAAAAGGAGAACCAAATGGAGGCTTTTTTCTGACGGGACCTCCTGGACCGCCTGGAAGACCAGGATCAGTTGTAAGTCATAAATGCTGTATATTAGGAATAATTGTGTGCACACATTGTTTTAACTTAGAAAGCACTAAATAGAGACAAACAACATGATGCTGAGAGCTATATATAAACTCATATGCTAAAAATAAAATTGGTAAGGAAACTGCATTAAGCATAGGCACAGACATTTCAATATTGTGCATAGAATTAATTTTCCATGAAAAATTGATGCAATGCAGCTACTTAGCTGCCTACAACTACATCAAAATATAAGTTCATGCTATTAATAGCATTACAAATCAAGAGAGAACATACGACTTGTGAGGCTACTCTTTATGTCCTCAGAAAGGCCTAAATAGACTATACAAAATGAGGCAGAGACTGTCTTTAAAAAATATTGGCCACTCAAGTAATCCATCTTATTTTCTTCTCTAGTAATCAAAAAAAAAAAAAAAACACAAATGAAAAGTCCAGTGTGTGGGGGTCTGGACTACTCCTTTAACATTTAGCTACTGTTTACTCCGCAGAATGGTTTAATCTCCTGGTAGTTGCCACCACGTTTGCTTTGGAATCTGCTATCACTTTGCAAACTAGTTAATCCATGGAATCTGAAAACTAGTGCATGCATTGCCCATATACTAAACTAAACTCAAGATTTTTCATTTTCCATTAATTCCATGGCTCCTTGAGAAAATTCACCAATGGACTCATATCTAAATAGGGATGCTGTGGCCCACCTTTAGAAAATGCTATACAGAAAGATTAAAATCCTGAAGCAGTGAAGTTAATACAGTCAAATAAAATATTTTTGTAATTGATAGGGACCAAAAGGGGATTCCATTGTCGGACCTAGAGGACCTCCTGGATTACCTGGACTACCTGGTCTACCAGGTTATGGAAAAACTGGACCTCCTGGCCCACCGGGACCACCGGGACCACCAGGACCCCCTGCAATATATGGCTCAGGTAAGAAGGTGTGATTCTGTCTTTCACTGTACATATAAGCAATAGACATGCTTACATCTCCCCTTTCCATACCTGTTCTTCCAGCTATCCTTTCACTCTGCACACTTACATCAGATTTCATCCCTGGGGATGTGGATTATAAGCAAGAGCGTAAAAAGAGAGCAGAAGCAACCAAATTTCATTGGGGAGCACAAGAAAATCTTATTTAAGCTGTGTTTGGGAAGTCTGCCTAACAGAGGATGGCTGCATAGAGAGCTTTGTGAAACTGAGCAGTTAGCAAAATTTGGGAAAATTTTCATGTGACAACAAGAAGCTCTTCCCTGATAACAAGGACAGTACATACAACAGAGTTGAAGTCTAGAACAAAACTGCAGGAGAACTGCCCCTGAGAAGGTAGTTGCCATGCTAATGTTGAATACAAACAAAACAGTTTTGAGGTTGGTTATTGGACCTCTAATGATTTTTAACTCACTGGATTAGAAAAGGAGCAAAATATGTCACAGATTTGAGGGAGGAGGTTATAACAAGGTGGTTGCTGGAGCTTCTAATGCGAAAGAAATGCATTAATCCAGTATCAGTTCAAGCCAGTTTCTCTTTTGACTTCTCTTGGGTCACAAGTCTGCTAGTGACAGGTGTTTTATATCTCCAGACCTTGGGCTAGGTTCTGGTAGACGGGTCTTGTGTGCCTCTGAGACTACCTAGCAAGTTTACCTGAGTGAGAGACTCTGATTCTTCCCTTTGGGAACTGAGACCAGAAAGGGAATCTGGCCAAAACTGGTCTTCCAGACCAAAGCATTCATCAATCTGAAGGAAGCTGAAGGAATATATCATGCTGACAGCAAGGGTGCTTTACCAGCATCAAGAGATTATAATGCAGCTCTGTCTTACTGAAGTTTGGGTTTGGACTCGTTAATTCGATTGAACTAATGATCAATATGCTTCTCCACAGTACCTGTTCTTCCCATGTGCTAGTTTTGGGAGCAACACTTCAGGAATTTTCTTATATTACATATATCAAGCACTTCTGAATATTAGCTAAAAGAGAGCCAGTCAGACAGAACAAATTAGTATTATTCTAACCTTCTACTTTTGCTTGTCCCCCCTGCCATTAGCTTTCATCTTCTACCTACCCTACCTACCTACTCTTTACAAGCTTTCTAAGAAGTTTCTTTAAGCAGCACATTGATAAATGTCCATTTTAATAAATGTAATGAACACTGATGTTAATTTATTTCCTATCTTCAAGTCACTTCGTTAAAGCTTTCACTTACTGTAATGTGGAGCTCACAATCTGTAATATGGGGGAAAATAAATAGTGCGGTTTAAATGACCCCAACAGTTTGCAAGCTCCCATGTAGCAGGTAAAAGAATAAGCTTCACTACCGCTTTAAAAAAAAAAAATGTATTTCTTTTGGAGAAAGCTATTCATAATTTGACCCTGTAAGGACCATGGTCATTACAAGCTTGCACTACTCCTAGACACCAAGCCCAAATATTTTCTTTAGGGTCCCTTTCTCTCAAAAAGACTTACAATGTGTATTGTACATTTGGTTTTTTTTAGCACCTGCATTTCCTGGGCCACCAGGTCCTCCAGGAGAGCCAGGGTTACCTGCAACTAGGAATCTGGTAAGTTAATGAACTGTGGAAATTTGTCTTTGAAAACTTCTCCGAAGCTTATAGTGGCTGTTGACAGCACTGCTTGAGGGAGAAAAGCTGAGTTCTAGAATTTGTATTTATTAGAATATTTTCTGTTTTTTCTGAACATCATAATTTTTTCAGAAGGGAAATCATATACTGAGAAGAGTGAATGAAGAAGTTTGGCTATCGTTTTGTTAGTCACAAGCTAGTCAACAAATGTAAAATAAGACTGATGGGATGTTAAAGCAATGGAAAGGTGTGCATTTTGCATGTCCAAAGCAATTTCA